AGTCGGACACGACTCATAGCGACCCCTCCTTGGGTTTCCAAGGAGGTATCATTAAGGAAGTAGATTGCTCAACCTTCCTTTATGTAGTAGAAATACATGTATTAAAAAAATAAGACTAATGTACAAGACCTAAGTTTGACACCAGATCTTCCATTTACTGACTATATGACCCTGGTCAAATTATTTAACCTAACTCAAGTCTCCTCATCTGTAAATTATTATGGATAACATACACACTCCATGAGGTTACTGTGAAGGTTAATCAGGATAAAGAGTAAAATTGCCTAACATGTCACAGGCTCAAAATAAATGCCTTTCTAGAAGATCCAGTGAACAAAAAAGCCAAACAAAACCAGAATTTGACTTAACAAACTACAAAGTCATTTAAGGAAACGTTTCTTTATACAAAGACAAAATAAAAAAACAAATACCTTAACTTCCACCCAGAAAGATAAATTTGTGATCTCTGCATTTTCTTCTACAGGTCATTCAAAAAATCCTCTGAAGATAATGTCTGATAGAAATAAAATTTGTTCACCCTATCTCCAAACACAAGTATAGTATGACAAAACTTACCACAATTCCACATGAACATGACAGAAGAAAATCTATCAAGAGACAGCACACATCTTAACAGCTCTAGGCTCAAGGTCTGGCTTACTATTACCCTTTGGCTTTCCATTAATATACCCACATCTTTTATAAGAGATCCAATTAGTCTTGATGTAGTCAGAATAGATAAAATTAAGAGTAGGTTTGATAACAATCTGAGAGTAAAGAAACCATAAGTTCCTCAAGTACTAGAAGCAAAGGCTCTAGCTAAGCAAAAAAATCTGTATCTGCCAATTTATATATCTGAACTTCACAAAATGGCAAGTTATTTACAATGTCATCACAAACATATTACTTATAACTCTTACTATATTTTGTCAATCTTGCATGACAAATGATTCCTTATTAAAAATGGTAATGAAAAATTGAAAGAAAATAGCAACTTACAGAACTTCATCTATAGCATGATCCTACTTGTGTATGTGTGTATAAAACCCATAATTTAAAAAAGACTTGTGTATAATGCACATCAAAGACTAGAATACATAAAGCATTAACAGTAGTTTTATTTGGTTGTTGGTAACTTAGATGACAACTTTTATTTTCTTCTATATAATTAATTTCCTATCCTTTTTGAAATTTTCCACAAAGAGTATGTATTATTTTTGCACACAGAATTAATAACAAATTATCATTCTAAAAGATAAATAGTTTTAAAACTATTCCTTAATAAAATAAAAGACGTTCAGGCCCAATTTTGGACTTCAAATGCTATTATTAATTGTCCCTCTTCTGTAAAGATTATAGTGATATAACAATTAAAAGTAGAGATGACTGCTATGAAGTAAGCCCAATGCTAGGGGTTTAAAAATACAACTTCTAGTTGTCACATAATCCCCAACAAAACTTAAAGCACAAAGGTTAATTTGCAATTAATTAATACAAGCAAGCCAGCAATTAAGAGAATAAAAATTCAAAACCTGGCATGACTGATACCAAACACTATATTCCATCTTTCCACTTGATCATTCAGTTTCTCAAACAAAGTAAAATTTTCCACTTTTGACCAAACATACTAGACCAGTCACATTTTCATTTGGTAAAAATATCAGAAAAGAAGAAGGAAGGAAAGCAAAATTTATGAAGTTGCTGTTACTTTATCAAAAAAGGACATTAATTAACATTTGTTCCTTAATCATAATATATACATAATGTTAAAAGGTTTATAACACAAGTGATGTGAACTGGTACAGATTTTTACAAATTTAAACAATTGGAAACATATGATTTTAAGCACTTTTCATATCTCATTACACAAATATTACTTTGGGAAGAAGCAGGAAGCTGCAGAATACCTCAAATAAGCCACCGTTTTCCTCACAACTCTCGTGGCAAAGCCAAAGAACCAGAGGTGCCACATAATCTGGCTTCAGACTTTTTACAAATTCTGAAATAAACAACAACAAAAAAAAAGGTTATAAATAAGAACATATTAATACTTAATCATGTTACTTTCCCAAATTTTTCTTATTAAATTATAGATAACTCAGAGATTTTTTTTAAATAAATAGTAACAAAATTAGATATATGTAACTGGAATAACATTCAAAGCTTAAGGAAGAACATCTTCATCCCAACAGACATATTCCTGAAGTTCTCTCATGCCTCTATACTTGGAGGCATCAAACTTATCTTCCAAGATGGGTAACATACTATTTAGGATGAGATGTTAGATCTGCACAGGCAAAGACTGATAAGCAAAGCTGTACATGATATGAGAAACTCACTGTGACGGTTCATGTTATGTGTCAACTTGGCTAGGCTATGTTTGTCAGTGGTTGGGCAGACGCTGGACTGATTGTTATTCCATAAAATAATGTCATCATTCTCCGTTTTGTGATCTGATGTGAGCAATTAGATGAAAAGCCAATCAGTTGAAAGCCAATGAGTTTCCCTGGGGGTATGGCCTGCATCTAATATATATGGATGTTCTGGCAAAGCTCACTCTATCTCAATTCTGCATCTAATTCATCATCCTGACCCTCAATTTTTGGGATGTAAGCTACCAGCCTGCCGCCTGACCTGCAGATTTGGAGACTCACCAGCTCCCACAGACCTGTGAACCAGCAGTCTGCCATATGACTTGCCAACTTTGGATTCATCAGCCCCTGCAACTATGTGAGTCAAGGAGAGCCTCTAGCCTGATGCCTAACCCATAGATTTGCAACTTGCCAGCCCTGAAAACTGTGTAAGTCATTTCCTTGAAATAAATCTCTCTATATGTGTGTATGTGTGTGTGTGTACTTCATGCACTTCACTGGTTTTCCTATTCTAGAGAACCTAACCTAAGACAGGTACCATTCATTCTCAAAACTACTTTACTCCTCTCCCCACCAGCTGTTTAACCAGAAGCCAGAAAACTACCAAACAGCCTTGACAATTCTAATGACAGTGAAATAATGATGTAATAGGCCTTGCAAGTATCACTGATGAGTAAGAAAATATTTTTGTAAAACAAAAACCAAACGCACTGCTGCTGAGTCGGACCCAACTCATAGCAGCCCATCCTTGGGTTTCCAAGGTGGTATCACTATAGAAGTAGATTGCCCAACCTTCCTTCTGAGGAGCGGCTGGTGGGTTAGAACCACCAGTCTTCTGGTTAGCAGTCAAATGCCTTGAGCCCTACAGTACCAGAACTCCCAAGAACATACAGAGAAATATTTTTCTACTGCATACTTTCTGAAAGCAGCTTAAGAGCAGAAAAGCACTATAGTGAGTATGAAAATCTGGATTTTAGTCCTGGCCCTGCACATAGGCAATTTAGGCCCCTGAACATCTCAACAACTCTGGACCTCTTTTTCCATTGGTAAGGCATTGATTAAAATGTTTTCCACTCCTATTTCACCAAGTTGTTCCAAGGTTCAAATGAGATATAATTTGAGTTTGTATCTTGTAACTTGGGCGCGCTAGTGGCATAGTGCCTAAGGCATTTGACTGCTAACCAGTCAAACCCACTGGCTGGCGGTTCAAACCCACCAGCCACTCCTCAGAAGGAAGACTAAGCAATCTACTTCCATAGAGATAACACCTCGGAAACCTAAGAGGGGGCGTCACTGTGAGTCAAAATCAACTCGATGGCAGTGAGTTTGGTTTGGTTTTGGACCTTGTAACATTTAAAGGGCAAATAAATGTATAATTTGATTGTGAAATGACAGAATATAATTTGTTATTAGCATGATAAAATAATAAAAACAGCACTTATAATTTTTGAAAAGAGCAGCTCCAAACCACTAAAAGTCAAAAGAAACAACAGATTTAGACTACAATGGACTAGAGATACTGCTATTATGAAATGTATTGCATAGAGGAGCTAACTACTGATTCAGAAAATAAAACAATCACAATGGTAAGCGCCTAGAAATTATCAATAAGTTTATTTATTTATCAATAAATATGCAGAGTAGAGATATGGTAGGGTGGAAAGAAAGATTACTGACAGGAAAAATGCTAAGGATCCATTAAATATTAGACACAGATAAAGAATGAATTAGCAAAGGCAAATTTAATTAAACTACTCAGAATTCAATAAAAGAGACAGACACAAAAATATGAAAAAGAAGTGAAAAGAAATAAAGGACAAAATTAGGTCTAATATATATTAAATTCACAGTAGAAAGAAGAGAAAGACTGGAGGAGTAAAAAATAAAAACTATACATTTTCCAAAACTAATAAAACTAAACAAAACATAAACCATAAGCTCAAAGATTAAGAGACCACAGTATAAACCAAATATGAAAACCTGTTGCTATCAAGTTAATAATTCCAACTCATAGCAACCCCATGAGTTAGAGAGTAGAACTACTCCATAGGGTTTTGTTGGCTGCAATCTTCACAAAAGCAGATCGCTATCTTTTCTTCTGTGGCACCACTGGATGCCTCTGAACTTCCAACTTTTAGGTTAGCAGTCCAGTGTAAACCATTTGTGACTAGATAAATAAATATAGATACATTTATGAAAGAAAAGAACATAAAAGACGTTTTTAAAAGCAGCCAGTGAAAGAGGACAAATCACATACAAAAAAATGTTTTCTTCTACTTCACAGAACCTAAGTAGTGTTGGAAATTACTTTTCATAAATATCTAAAAACCAGAGTATCAAAAACTAAACACAGTTTCCACTAGTCAAGTTTTCTACTTTTTATATAACTAAAAAAATGTTACAGCTTCTCAATCATACAATATGAAGCACCTTTAAAATTTTGTATTTTCTAAGACTTACCTGTTTATAAACACAATACAAACTAAGAATGTGGAATAATCTATAGGTCAAATAAACTAATTCTGTCAACAAATAAATGGCTTTTTTCAAAAGGAAATACTATGTTAAGGAAAACTTAGGGAATATAATAACAAAATACCCAGGGACTTCATTTGGATCCTGAGTGGAATAAACCAACTGTAAAAATATACCTTCTTAGACAATTGAACGATTCGACGGCACATAACAACAACAACAACAACAACAGACAATTGAAAAATTTTAATATGTATTTGTTATTTAAAAAACAATAATTATTATAAACAGTAAGAATGCTATTATGATTGAATTTTGTCCCCTAAAATTATGTTTTGAAATTCTAACCCTTGTACTTGTAAATATGACCCTGTTTGGAAATAGAGGGTTTCCTTTTATGTTAATGAGGTTTTATCAGAGTAATGTGGGTCCTAAACCCAATCATTTCTGAGTTAAAAAAACAGAACAGACACAGACATACCCAGGGGAAAGATGCCATATGAACAAAGACACACAAGGCAGATGTATCTACAAGCCAAGAAACACCAAAGACTCCTGGCTACTAGAAGCTGAAACAAAGAAGGACCTCTCCCTAGAGCCATGCCCCGAAATCAGACTTAGAACCCTCCTGGACTATGAGAAAATAAATTTCTGTAATTTAAAGACACCAACTTGTAGTATTTTTTGTTATGGCAACAATGGTTACCTAAAATGCTATCATCCCGTTTATAAAAAAAAATGTATGTATGCCTGTGTACATATTTCTACTGAGAAAAATAATGAAAGTTGACTTCAGTATAGTAGAATTATGGGTCATTTCATTTTTCTTTTCTGTTTTTCTGTATTTTCCACAATGAATATACATATATACAATGATTTTGAAATTACAGAAAAAAATAATTGTTTCAAGTATTCAGAAAATGAAGTATTTTTGCAAAGCTCACTCCACATATTGACAGGTAACAGAATTGAAAAATCTAAGCTACTTACCTCCTGGCAAAACAGTCTCAGTCATACGTGATCCCGCAGTAGGAGCAATAGTGTTACAATGAATATTATTTTTCATGCCTTCAATTGCAAGAGTATTTGATAGGCCCAGAAGACCAAGCTTTGCAGCACTATAATTTGCCTGGCCAAAGTTGCCATATATTCCTGAAGCTGAGGAAGTCATAATGATCCTAAAAGGAAAATCAGTCTTTCAACATCATCTTTTCTATATGTTGATAACACTGCAACTCTTTTTTTTTGTGTGTGTGTGGAGGGGGGGTACTATTAACACCTGTCAAAACCAACTCTGTATAACAACAAATGCAACACACTGCCATCGAGTCAGATCCGACTCATAGCGACCCCTCCTTGGGTTTCTGAGGTGGTATCACTACGGAAGTAGATTGCCCAACCTTCCTACCAAAGAGTGGCTGGTAGGTTAGAACCACAGCCTTCTGGTTAGCAGTCAAATGCCTTAGGCACTATGCCACCAGAGCTCCTAACTCTCTGTATAGTCACTAGCATATTACACTTATGATTCATATATCTAAAATAATATTAATACAAAAGTATCTCTCAAAATTCAGCTATAAAATTTAACTGTTTCAGAAACAATCTTAGAGGATCAAATCAATTTAAGTGTAAGAATGCATATTCATTATCTATTAAAACCAAGAAAAAATGTTTACAAATAAAAAAAAAAAGTTGGCAATACACAAGTTAAAATTTTAGCAAGAAAGGTTAGATGAAGCTATTCTAATTTTCAGTCCTCACCACTTTGCCCCTCTCCCTTTCTGGATAAGTATTAAATGTCTCATTAAAACAACAACATCTGACAATCTGACCCAACTTCACTCACTCTACTTTGACCAAGTAAATCTTATCACTAAATTACAAAAATGGTCAGGATCAGGATAAGCTATAAATTTCCAGTAAAAACAGGTATTACAAATTATTTACTTCCAGTAGATATGTGTGTGTCTTTGGGTAATGCAAATAGTTTACACTTAGCCATTCAGTACAATGCTGGCAATTTGTTTTGTATCTACCCAGAAGCACCTTAGAAAAAAGGGCCGGTGATCTACTTCCATAAAATTAAAACAAAAACGAATTTGTGCTTTTTTTCTTTTTATATGTGTGAACCTTTAGTTAATAGGAATGACCCTGACATTAGAGGGTGTGGAGTTCCTTAATAGCACTGCCACATCTGAATCAGCCACATAGAAGTAATCATGAGAAGGCTTAAAGTTGCAAACAGTTTATAAAGACTAACTGATGTCGAACCAGTACAAGTTAGCAGGAAATAGCTACTCATATCTCCCCATTTGGTCACTGAAGACATAAAATGACATTTTGGTTAGAGAATGAAGTATATACAACTGAATCCTCAATGTCTGAATTGCTTTTTTAAATGATAGAGAGCAGTACGAGAATCATTAATAATGAAAAGTAGATGGTAAAAGAAATAGCTAAACTGTGACTGAATGACATCAATTTACTAGAGAGCATATGCCAAGACTGCATTATAAAAAGCCTACACATATTGAAGATATTTTCATCAAGCAATCATAGCACTTTTTAGAATATCATCTTTCTCCGTACACAAAAGCCCATAAACATATGTTCATCCTTTCCCCCACTACAGCCATATTCAACTCTACCTTCCATAATTCTGTTTCTTCATGTGTTCCCATGCTGTCCGTGTCACTTGGAATGAGCCCCACAAATGAACTCTGTAGATTAGATCTAAAACAAGAAATGATTTTTATTATATACTTTCTCAAAAATTAGGTAGGTACATCTCAGACTTAACATAGTTAACTTACACAAAGATGTTCATTTTATAACTACCATTCAAAATCACCTACAGCCACATCACTCTCTGAGAATGCTTAGAACCATTTTTTATTTTGTTCAAGTTATGCTACAATCAATAATTCACACTGAGACTTAGAACAATGTTCCCTATAATGTATGATACCAACACCAAAAAATGAAAACCATAGAGGTAATCATTTCAATCTATGTACATATCTAAATACAATGCTACCTTTAATTTGTCTTTACATGTAAATTTATATTCTTTATATATAAACTCACTGGTATTAATTTCCAATTAATTTACATTCAAAATTGGCACACAACACTAACATTAGGTAAAACATAATCAATCATAAATAACACAGTTCATCACCAAGAAATAGTCACAAAATATACACTGTCTCCCTGTTTTCACCAAGGTTTGCAAATGAGTTGAGAGAAGCCTATTTGTTCTGAAAGATTTAAACTGAATTAATAGACAATTTAGGGAATGGTTCAGATAAATAATTCTAGATTTAATTTTATTCTTTTAATCCCCAAGGCTTTTAACCATCCTTATTTTCATTTCATTCTAGAGCCTCAACAAACGTTTTCATTTATATATCAGAAGAAAAAGGAAGAGGGAGAAATAAAGGAAAGGGTAGTCAAGAGTAGTACACAAGAGGAGATACCTCTGCCCCTCAAGAACTCCAAAGGAAAGCTCCAGCATAAACTCCTCTTTGCCAACAAATCCTATATACCTGGGATTGTCTTTTATTAGTTTAAAGGAAGAGGAAGCTAAAAGCTCTGTTTTGCTTAAATGATAGAAAAATTTTGCTTCTTCCAAAAGAATTTCTGGTAATATTCCCCAGAAGCACACTCCATAAGTGATGACACATTCACCTCAGTTGTCATGACTGCCATTATCTCAGTCCCGCTGCCTCCCCGTTTACTGTATTAGTTTTGTGGGACAATGAAAGTAAGGGCAAAGAGTAAAAAGCAACAACAACAACAAAGCCATACATTTTTCTTGTTAACTGTTGTTTGTTCATTAACTAAACTCAACCTTTCCTATCTGGCACCACTACTGGAAATCTTTCCTGTTTATTAGACACTTCAAAATTATATCTTCATTTGTTCCATGATGTTCTCAGACTGCCATCATTTTTACTGTTCCAGGCTCCCTTTCATACACCACTCCTGCTC